GTTTCGAGAACGTCGCAGCAACGCGTACGAACGAAATCGTTCCCGTGCGGCTCGTCCCTTTTTCCCCACTCTTCTGCCATTCTTTCGGTTTTTCCGTAGGACTGCGGCGATTCGTCGTCGTTCTCGGTCCACTGGGAAAAGGTTTCGGTGGCGGTGTCGCATTCGCGAGGAAATGGTCCGTGAAACGAGCCTTCTCGCAGGCTCGGGCAGGGATTTTCGAGGATTGGACGCGCGCGCGGTCCACGCAACGACCGGGAGGAGAACCGAGTCCGTGCAATCTCGTTTCTCTTTCTCCGCGCATCGAAGGAAATGCTCGATTTTTTCCCCTGCAACGAAATAGTTTCTCCGGAAGCTGATTTCACCGTGCAAAAAGGGAAACGGCTGACGGGAGGAGAAGGGGGAACGGTTTAAAGAATAGAGGAGAAGAGTACTCTCTCGCGGTGGTGCGCGCGCGAACCGGCGAGCGAGCGTGCAAGCGAGCGTGCGAGCACCAAGAGAGGAGAAGGGTGGAAGAGAGAGCGAGCGAGAGTGAGAGAGGAGAGGGCTGGAGGAGAGAGCGAAAGAGCAGTGGTTTTTCGTTATCGACATTTTCCAGGACGCGCGAACGTGTGCGTGAGCGTACGTGCGTTAGCTCCTCTCGTTGCCCCCTTTAGGCCGCGTCTGTGCGTAGTTGTAGGTGTCCCTGGCGGTGTATGCGCGAAAATTTGTATGGGTATGCGTGTACGTGTTGGCGGGCATACGGGCAGTGTGTGTGTGTAGAGTTTTCTGGAGGTTTCCCCTAGCAACGAGCAGCAGCACCAGCACCAGCACCAGCCACAGCCCGGCTTAGGGGTAGCTACGAACCCCGCGCGAGACCTCGCCTCTTTGCCTCTTCTCTCTCTCCTCCTCCTCCTCCACCTCCTCCTCCACCTCTCTCCCTCTCGTTACTTTTTCCTTTGCCGCAGATTTTCGCGAAATTCTACGCGCCGGTTTCGCCTCCCGATCGTTCCGTACCAACGAATCGGAGAGAAAAGCACGAGGATGACAACGCTTCGAAGCACGCACACACACACCGTGTGCCTCTGCGAATAATCTCTCTAGGTTCGCGACGGATTAAACGCGGTTGATCGCCGGCGATCGCAAGAAGGAAAGTTTTTCCGTTTCGACCGTACGTAGGACAAAAAGCTCGAGGCTCCGAATTTCGGGTAAAAGCGTTGCACTACCAGCGACGCTACTCCTCTGATCCTGAATTATCCAGGTGCTGCGCTCATTCTGCGTCGGATTAGGAAACGCGGACCGATCCAGTTGCTGAAAATTTTCGACCGTTTTCGAGCGTGACGATCAACGTCCAGGGAACACGAACTCGCCTCCTCTCTCGTTCGATCTGGTTCCGAATCGTTTCCTCGCGACACGGAAGAACGTTCCCGACCAA